TTTGTAATTCTTTTTTTAATTGTTTTTCTTTTTAAATAAATGCTTAACTATGATGAATTATTGACCTTTATTTCATAAAATAGTAAAATAAAATATAAAATAATTTTGTCCGGTTTTTAATGTGTAATACTCCTATGTGAGACGCTTCGTCGGATAGTCTTAGCGCAAGAGTGGTAAAAACTTTACTCGCAAAAATGCCCATACAAGATAGTAAAGAACATGTCGTGTATTTTGATAACTTTTTAACGAATTACCAATTACTGCATGATTTGCGTCTTCAGGGAACTAGAGCGACTGGTACAATTCGTGATAATAGAACAAAAAAATGCCCACTTCTTTCTGTAAAAGAAATGAAAAAGCGACCTTGAGCAGAATATGACTGTCGCTTTGATACAAAAAATGAAATTGCGATTGTACACTGGAAAGACAACAACGTTGTCACTATGGGTACCAATTTTGACAAAATTGAACCTGTAGGAAAAGTAAAAAGGTAGTGCAGTACAAGAAGACAAAAAGTAGATGTGAATATACCAGGACTATTCGTGAATTACAACAAAGGAATGGGTGGTGTAGATCAGATGGAACAATCCATAATTCCGTACCGAGTTTCGATAAGAGGAAAGAAGTGGTGGTGGGTAATATTTACCTATTTACTGGATATGTCTATTTCTAACGCTTGGAGTCTGTATGTTTTACTGAGCAAATCAGCAGAAAATATGACTGTGACCTACATGGACCAATTGTCCTTTCGAAGAAGCATTGCGCGCGCTTACCTGCAGCAAACAAAGTCTAAATCCCGTCCTTCAGGCTCAACAGTGGTTGGGTTAGACAAAAAAAAATTACGGCCACAACCCACAGCGCATCCAAAATCCGCTGCGTTGTGCTGTATGTCACAGTCGCGTCCGATGGCGTTGCGAAACCTGCCTAAAAACGTTATGCGTAGAGCGAAGTTGTTTCGGAGAATTTCACTCTTGATCCGCCCACTGTACTCGCCTGTGTACACCCTTATAAGTGCGATGTGACACAGTTATTTTTTAATTTTTTCTTATAAATGTTTTATATAGGTACTATTAAAGCAATAAAATATCATAACATGAAAAAAATAACAATAGTTTTATTTTGGGCGTTAATGGGTTAAATTCACTGAATAAATGTATACATGTGTAAAACATACGATCAGGAAATGTTTCAATACACGCAGCAACGGTACTTGCGTGAACTGAAACAGTGAAGGTACTACTACGAAAAATGCGAGTAATGTAATTTATTCGTGCGTAACGTTTCGTTACTCAGTACTAGATGGTGCACCCATTACTCAGTACCGAATACATACGATTTGCTACAGCTGTAATGTTGACGGTTACAATGGATGGTGAAGATTTCACTGTCTTGGAAATAGATTTACATAAGTCAAAGGACAAGGCACTTTCTATTCCTTCACTCTCATAGTCCTATGGGACAGTAAACCAACATGACCGGAGAGAGATCAGGCGCAGGAGTGCTCTGAGGAATTGTTCGGACTAATTCCAGTCACAGAATTTCAACATCGCACATCGCGACAAAGCTTACAATATCATCCATACCATCTGGATGACTGACGGCCCACCACTGTGCGATTTAAACATATAAATCTAAATAATATGGCAATAGAAGTCATAATAGTGGGTGACCTTGCCGCCGCACATTTGACTCGTAGGCACAGAACACTATTACTTCTGTAGATATAGTATAAACTCCTATACTAAATCTATGATTACTCCTATCCGAGTTCGTAGGCCATAAGCGCGTGAGGAGCGTTTGTTTCGGTCACCAGTATTGTTTTAGACGCAGAGACGTAAAAACAGTGTTTAGTTTTGACGGTAATTAGATTCTCTTAATTTATCAAATGCAAAATAACGAAAAGTAATTCCAATAATATCACCGGTAATTTTCTAATAAAATTTTTAAATCTGATGATGAAAGAATGATTTGATTTGAAAACAATCTAAAATTTTAAAAGAGTTCCTGTGGGTTTCTTGCGCCATTTCTTCCTATGTTCGTTCCAAATCAGTGGTAGTTTATATTGCCTTTCAATAAGTTGTACGATGTATATTAATTCCGTTGAATAAAATATTTAAACTTTAAAATAATAAAGGGGAGGTCGGTGAACTTCCGGGCGGCGAAAACCCACGCTACGCCACTGGTAATTGTATTGTAAGTATAGTACACTAAATTCGATCTGTAAGAAGCCGGGTAACTGAAAAATAACAAACAACAGAAAGTCAGTTACAGATCTTTAAAACTAATAAAAATGATAAAAATGTCACACATGCATATGTTTATTTGTTTGTTGTTTCAGGTTTCCAAAAGATCTTGATATTAAAGATAAATGGATATACTTATCCTTAACTTTTTATTATATCCCCTTTTCTCTAATTATAAAACGTCTAAAAGCTAAAGCTAAGACTAAAAGTGTCTATTACTGAGACACTTTCAGTTAATTATATCTTGGTGTGAGACTTCTGGACGAACAACGATGCTTAATAGAAAGTTATCGAAACGTGTGTTGCGTTTGCGCTGTACTATGCCCAAGTGAGAATGAGCACGCAATGTCATTCTCTTTTTTTCGCACATGTTAATTATTGGACCGAGTGGCTACGCCTACTGAGATTTGGCGTTTTTATAAAATATCCCTTAACGCAATGTTTATAGTTTAATCTTTGTTCCATGAGTGCTAGAGATATGTGTAGGCGTAATTGTGTATTTATTGTTTGACTACCACCAGAGATTTTTCCGGACCGATACGAATTGGGGAGCTTCAAAAAAAGAGCCTACTCCTTTTTAAAAGGCCGGCAACACATCTGCAATTACCCTGGTGTTGCAGTTGTTCACTGAGGGCGGTAATCACTTACAATCAGGTGAGCTGTATGCAACCTCGCCAATAAAAAAACAAACTGAAAATAACAACAAAAAACGTGCTGTCCGAGGCACGGGGTTTAGACACAGTCAACTTCCTGACTGCTGGCAGCTACTGATCATTTTTTGACCGAAAAACTGATATTTTATTTGGCCAGACCCAGGATTTTAACTTGGGAACCCATAATCAGTATTTGCGTATATAACCACTAAACCAATGAGGCAATTCTAATAATAATGAAGTCATTTGACTATTGGACTTCTTGAGAAAGGAAAAATATGTTAAATCTCAAAAGATAGACCATGAAAACTATTATATATAAATATATACCTATAAACTGACTTTTCTTTTGCCTTCGTAAGAATGCCGTAAAGCCATGTTGTTATTATATAAAAATTCAATGGTTTATATATTATTTGAAATTTGTATAAAAACTAGTTTTTTAAAATCAAATATATATGAAATAAGTGTCCAGCCATGTTATTTTGGAAGCGGGATAGAATACTTTTTATTTCATCTTCGATCATAGTGTGTCTTATTTCTTTTGTTTTCATACTATGGATGGTGGAAGTACGTACATAAGCGCAAATAATCGTGTATTGCAATTATGTAATGTTCTGATGTAGAATAATATCTTCTCCTTTTTGTATATTTCAATGGGCTAAAGTAATAATAATCAATACAAAAAAATCAACTGCTTATATTGAATCATTTTTTGTAACTATGCAGTGTACATGCAATGAGCAGCAGACATATTTTCCCACAAATAAGTGCTTTTGCAAACTGTCAAATTTTAATCTAAAATAATACATTTATAAAGTTTGTATGCCATCCACGTTGATACAAAAATAACGTGGTCAATTATTCATATAGGTTCAAGTGAACTTATCAATAATACTTTTTGATATTCCCCCATTGCAACAGAATCAGATTTGTGGTGTAAATAAAATTCAGTTTTATTATTTACATCTTTCACTATATCAAATTATGGGCTGGTTTTGTGCATGTGGTGTTGGAATTATTTTAAATGTTAACCCTGCAGTTTTTATACAGCATGGTGACAAAACTGCATATTATCGCTTTTCTTTTTTCAGATTTCTGTGAATAAAAGATAGTTCATTTATAATAATATGTATATTTAAAACTGAGTTACAATTTTTCTGACTTTGGAAATAATTTATAGCCAAGATAACTCATGAGCCTTTTGATGTTCTTAGCTTTTTAACAAAGCACAAACAAAATGCAAAACTGTGTCATATAATATTGAGTCACAGCATTGAATATAAAATAATTTCATTAAAAATGCAACTATATATTCCATTAAAAAGCAATGCAATGTTTAAAATTGTATATATTTATTAAATGCTGGTTGAATCCAGTTGATTAAATTGATAATATCATAAAACAGATTCATTCAAACTTGCACTTGTATTGTATTTATTAATTGCATTGAAAGACATGACAACTACATAATTACTTTTCCGTCTAAATTTCTCTTGCCTTGCTCGAGCCTTGCTTTATTTGTCTAACGCCCAAATACTCAAACGCTACTTACTTTATAGATACCGTTAAGTCTTATGCTGTCTCTATCACTTTAAATTAAAGTGAGTGTGACACCACGAGACTTAACGTCTTAAAATTGAGTATTATTTGAGTATTTGGCCATATAAGCACCAATGTTTTTCTCAAATATTAAAATTAAATTTAAGTGTTTTTATAAAAAAAAATTAATAATTATGTCATTGTAAAAACATGATTTAATGATTAAAATTTGATAATAAAATAAATAGTCTTATGTTAAAAATCATAAATTCTCAAAATATTCATATAGTTTTATTTTAACCTATGAATAATGCATAGCATAAAGTGACATGCTTAAAGTTGTTTTTATAACAAAACAAAAACATCTAAACGATTTTTACTTATATATTGCTCTTAATTGGCCAAGGATGGCGAAGGCTTACTATGAATTATGGATATGGACACACATTTAAAAATACAGTTCATCTACTGGTTTAGGAAGCGATTATAGGTTTTTTGCTATTGCAATGGTTGTATAGAAATTTTACAATGTGCAGTTTGAATGTAGCAGTTCACACATAACCTATGCTGCTGATTGCTTGTCATCTTTCTGAGTCACAAGCTGTGTTTGTGGTAGAGTCACACATAGTTGAGCAAATTTCTGACGTAAGTTCTGCCTCAACTCTTGTCTTTTTTCTGTTATGTTTCTGCGTGACTTGAATTCTAAGACTTCTTCTATTGGTATATAACTGGTATCATGTTCTTCATCAGATGAACATGTGTCCTAAAAAATAAAACAATACTAAGTTAGCATGAAAGTTAACATAAACATTTAAATAAGTGATAATAACAGGTAACGGTGGGCAGTGTATCATTTTTTCGATTGGAACATTTGCATCTCGATCACTGAAAAGTTCCGAAACGCTCATGTTTCATTTGGATCATCGACTCAAAAGATATCAAATACAGAACGTTACGAACACATTAAGTTGTGTCGCGGGCGTTTATTACACGCCGAGTCAGTGAAATGTTTTGTGGCAATAATGCTGAATAAAATAAGTGCTTAGGTTATTTATTGTGTACCGCGTGATAAGATTGAACATAAAATAAATCCTCCCTCATACTTTATCCAGGCTTAGGACGGGCGGCTAGTCCTTAATTTATGGCCAGCTGGCGTATATAAAAATCGATTCTACTTACAGCGATGCGTTGATTATATTTATAGCCTTTTTTTTGTTTTTTGGTCTGACTTAAAATTGTAATTTAAACAGAACTCAGTATTTTCGTAAACAGGCGCGAACGAACATAAACAATTTGACAAGTGCTGCATCAACGTAAGTGACAATTTGCTTATAAAACGACCGTATAGTATTTGATACGTAAGCGCCTTAGTGGTCATTTTTACGTGCATGAATAACGACAGCGAAAATCCGTACGAGTTGAGTGATACACTTCTCATTTATTATTTCTTTCTCACTTGTATGGATTGTAATCATTTCGCCCGCTCACTCGCCACTCGCAAGTCAATACTCAGTGTCTCAGTCTGTCTCTCTCGCTCGTGGCTTAGTCGCGTCGCGAGCGACGCGTTGCGTGAAATGAACACAGAGCATAGTAATGTTTCGGATCCAAATGATGCATTTGAAACATTCGTACTGAACCAATCGTTTGAATCAAGTGAGTCGGTTCCGTAAAGAGTTACACACGCCTATAACAGTAATAGTAACAGTAAATTGGGACTCGGTTATTCCAGTATTAAGAATGCAGAGTTGGCCCTATATGTATGAAGAATTTTTTTACAAGCTTATAATGTAAATAATTAGTGCCAAAACATGTAAGCAGTACATAAAATCGAAATTTTATAAATAAAAAAGAGATATGTCTACTTACCAACATTTCTTGTAGTGAAAGGGTAAAACCAGTACATGAAGATTTGTCATTTTTAGTCATATCTATACAGTCGCCTCTCTCGTGGTTACAAAATCCTTCAGAGCATGCAACCTCCGAGCCTTCTGGAGAACTCATGAGAGAAGATGAACCAGACAAAGTTTCACAGCAACCTCCATTATTAACTGATAAAGTTTCGCAGCATCCCCCGTTATTACCAGAAGAATAGCCACAGTCATGGGAATGTTCACTGGGAGACAGATTACCGTTTTTATTCCTTTTTTTCCCTGAATTTTTAGGCGAGCGACGTTTTGTATAGTCATCTTGGCATGATTGGCAGCCATCTCCACTAGTATCATAGCACTGATTATAGTCGCGCGGTGAGAGTAAATCAGTAGGTGTGTCTCGCTCTTCTAACAGGCATTCTTCACATTGACATTTTTCTTCTGGTTCCTCGGAGTCGGCCTCCTAGATTTGATATTAAAAAAAACATGAATAAAATACTTATGTTGATTAAGCACCCATGGTCACAGAGGACTGAGGTGACTGACGTCAGTTCCCCGTGACCATGGGTGCTAGAAAGTACCCGAAACGTCGGGTATTAAAAATAAAATAAAACGCGATAAAATCCGTAAAAGTAGTTTTAATCAATGTATAGTGTTGGCGTAAATATAATAGATCATTAAAATACTTATGCTCTTAATTAAAGAAAAAATGCGCTTATTGATAATATACAAGCTAATCCTTTAACTCTGCTTGCAAAGAGGTCAGAATTTTAGTGGAGTTGAGAAATAACCTCAAGAATTACACATCAGATTGTATATATTCGTTGCTCATAAATACCCTGACGATGCCATGAGGCGAAACCAGTGGGTTTTTAAAGTCAACAAATTAATAATTTAAAATAATATTGTGAAACAACATACACCAACTGCGCCGTAATAAAATGGCGTTGTTCACTGTACAACACAGGCGCATGCAGGTTGTGCAATGGCTAGTAAAATAATGGCAGGGAGTGAAATTCCACGCTGGTCTCAACCTCACACGCTTTTAGGTTTTTGAGCAAAAACTGGCTGGCTGATGATGCCAGATAATCTAAACATTGATCTACATGCGCGGTAGTTCAGTTTAATAATTAATGAAAGAGTACCTTGCATTTATTCTCCACAGCTTGCCTCTCTTTCTTCTTGCGCCTTTTGAGTTTCTTCTGTTCTTTCCTTTGTTGGCGCGTGAGTTCTTCTTGCGTTATTTCATCATACAGAAGCTGTAGCTTAGACACACCACTTTTTAATTCCACTGCAGTTTCAAATTTACGATAAAGTGCCTCCACGCCCACTGCCGCTAGTGTTTGACAGGTGCCTTCTTCCTCTCGCAACCGCAGCGAAATTCGCTGAAGGCGCTCATAAATGCATATCCCAAGACAAATTAAGACCTGTTGAGTCATTTCAGTAGATTCACATTATTTATTATGACATTACAGCCTCTAAAAATCCACTGCTGAATATAGGCTTCCCCCATAAATAGCCTTACAGGGACCCTCCTTTTGATTTAGTTGCCATGCTTCGCAAGTGGGTTGGAAGCGCAGTTTTTCAATATTGGCCGTTACTAGGAAGACACTGCTGCCTATCTCCGGATATGTTGCCCTTCGCCGCTTCTTACGTTGAAACCCACGGGATGATATAAGGTATATTATGTATAATATTATTTTTAGTTAACTTTGAATTCTCAAAGAATGATTTTCTAACACTTTTCAAAGCATGTATTTAGCACTAAACTCTATCAATAATAATAATAATATGTAACCTGCATTCTCAGAGCGGTGAGAATTGTGAAAATCTTATATGCAACAGTCATTTAAATAAAAGTTGTTAAAGAATATAATATGTCAGTGTTATGATACTTTAGTCCTATACATTCCACTTATGGGTAATGTCAGTAATAAATGTGAAACAGTTAGTCCGCTAAACCATGCTTGGGAGTGGGATCCAGGGAGTGTTAACGGACTCCACATGTCCTCGAAATATTCTATTTTGTAGACATGCATCTATCTTCACGACGTTTCCTTCGCCGTCAAGCAGGTGTTATAATCAAATGCAGGTGTTGAAATCAGTAGTTATAATTGCAGATATTAATAATTTTATTGAAGCCGGCGGGAATTAGATAGAGCGGTTAAAAATTTGCTCTCATACTATGTAATTTGTCGCCTGCGCTTAGCCCAGAGCTACTAGGTTTCTTTTAGATTAACTGAACCTCAGGTTTTTAGAAGATAGGCAGGCATTACATCCGAATTTCCGACCAAATTTTATTAATAATATATTTTGAATTACACAAAATAACCTTCTTTTTGAGTTACCATATACCAAAAATGTAAAACAGGATTTTCTCCTAATGATATTTAAAAAAAAACAAATAGACATGTTACTGAGTAGGGTTGGCAGGCCAGATGACTAAGTTGAAACGTCTAGTTTAGCTATCAATCAATAAAATTCTAAGACCAGTCATGTCCTACGCGGGCCCCGTTTTTGCCTACGCCGACCTTAAAATTATTAATGAACACCAAATAGTTCAAAACCTTTTCTGTCGTCGAGCTGCGAACGCACCTTGGTACGTCCGTAATGCCGACCTTCATCGGGACCTAGAGCTCCCCACAATTCAACAATTTCTCAAAAAACTCTCTGAGAACTTCTTCAAAGCCTCAGAGTCGCACTCCAACCATTTTATTCGTGAGGCAGCTACTTATGCAGCCTCACCCCCCTCTCGCTATCGAGTCCGCAGGCCGAGAAACTCTCTCTCGGACCCGCCTAATAAACTGTCAAACGACCTGAACTGCCTCCTGGCGGTTCAGGCCAACTCTAATTAAATTAAATTATTTATTCATAATTAATTTGCCTTCGTAGGCACTCCCTCAGCGGCTCGTAGCCGCCTGCGCCCTCTTTTCCCAAAAGAGGGTCGCTCACGATACGGCACAATAAAGCTTAATCAGCCAGTTGCCAGTCCCTAAAGGCGGTTTTTAGAGGGTATCACTTAGGTTCCCCGGTAGGATGTGAGTTGATTATAATGCATTTTTCTGTAAGGGTAGCTTTTTGCTGGGGAAAATATTTCTTAATTCTCGTCATACTTTTTGCGCCCTCTTTTCCCAAAAGAGGGTCGCTCACGATACGGCACAATAAAGCTTAATCAGCCAGTTGCCACTCCCTAAAGGCGGTTTTTAGAGGGTATCACTTAGGTTCCCCGGTAGGATGTGAGTCTTAACACGATAGACCGGCTATCGTGGTATGGTAATGCATTTTCCGCTTCCCTGTATAGGGTAGTTCGGGCGCAAAATATTTTGGACTATCATAAGTTTATACAGTGTGCTATATTGGTACTTTATAATGCACAAATTAATAATAAGTTTTGATTGTTTGGAGTTCGAATGTCAGTAGGTATGGAAAAGTCTAAAATAAACATTCATTATACTTTGACCTTTATATTTAGTGCAACCGTGATAAACACTACCGATTTTTTTTAAATATTGTAAGGTAAGAATACTTGCCTCCTCCTGTGCAATTTCAAGTGTTTTAGCATGCCTTTCTCTGTGATTTCCAAGTAACTCAGGTTCCGCCCTGGCTATCAAATGCGCTATGTAGTCAGTCTTGGTTTGTAAGTGAAGGTGTTTATCCAAAAGGCATCGTTTGATGCCTCCATAAAGTGCCCCCACATATCCTTTTTCTTTATGTGGCTCCTTTTCTTCAACTAATAGCTGATAAGCTCTTAATACCTGGGCACGTCAAAATCACACCTTTAGGTAGGACCACATATGCACACATTATATTTAAAATGTATTTTTTATTTCATAACTTTAATATACATTTAATTCCTGGGTAAATATTATGAAACGAGGCCTAAAAATATACTTATACATATATTATATTAACAGAACAACAGCTACAAAATCGAAAAAAATTTAACATCAACATGTGTTGAATAACTAAGTAAATTGCTTTAGAAATTTTTTGTACAGCAAAGCCTATTGTACTTTTGTTACAACATAAAAGTTTAAAGCAGTATGGTAACTGTTCAAAATAAATATACTAAATACTAGAGATTTGATTTCAGGATTTCGAAAATAGTGTCACCTATTGGGTCCAATCGTGAATCTAAACCATCTAGGGACCCGCTTAAACACACAAAAAATTGAGTCAAAATCGGTCGAGACATTTTCGAGTTTTTGCGAGACTAACGCACGGCAATTGATTTTTATATACAGGGTTATTTTTCAATAACTTAATAAAAATTTAAGTTCAAATATGTAAATAATGATATACCGTTGTCCACCTGATGGTAAGTGATTACTGTGGCCCATAGACATCTACGTCTATCCTCGATTGTTTTATTATTGTCACTCGTGGGGAATAAGATGGAATATCTCGCTTACAGTAAAAAAGTCTCCGGTTCTCTACACTCACTATACGAACCACAGCAGCGTTAAGCTGGTATTCTGTGAGAGCGTGGTCCTTCCCCGGTTGAACCGACCCATTTGTGCTATAACTATACTACTAATATAACTGCAGCATGGCTTTACCACATAAAAAATTGCAGTCTTTGTAAATACGAGTATACAAGGCTTCTACTTTTATTTGAAATTATCTGAAATGGAATGTGCGATTCAATTCGTAACGTTTTTGCCGTCCGAGCAACCCTTACGCGTGTAATATAATAGTAGCTGTTGGATATTTAACCCATATATGCCCAGGAGGCTGTTAACGACCCATTCTACTTACTTCGATAAAAATGCGTTGCGAAAGAAAACGGTAAGAAATTATTTGTGTCTAGCGCCATCTTCTGCTTATCTAAAGTACTACTTCATACATGCGCATCATCCGTACTCAGGTTAAAATTCAGTTGAGTTTTTTCGCAACAAAATTGTTCACCCGCGCTAGCAAAAATGTAAGTATTTTTTATATAAACTTTGTTTTACATAACTTATGCATGTATTTGCAACTTTAGAATATTTCTAGACTTTTTTGATAAAATTTTGCGATAATCATATTTATTTAACAAGTTAATGTAGAAAATATGCTGGCGTTTTGCAGGTCTCGTCAATTGCTTTCCACTACTGAAATAGCTGATGCCCTCGAAGCTTTGGAGGAGGTGGAAGACATTCAAGGTATAGATGTTTATATAGATCCACCATGTAACGGTGAAATTTCTGATGGTGACTCGGTGGAAGAAGACTGTTGAGATTTTGATAGATTGAATCGGCACTAGCTTCTCGCGCCTGCTGAGCTAGTAATTCACACGTCGAAAGATGACCAGCATGTTGAAATCGAGGCTATTGAACCTGAAATCTCTTCTCCTACTCCTGCTAAAACTCCACGTATGCCTATAAGTCTCAACCAGCTGTTACAATAAGTAATGAGCAACTCAGGCAACCGACGACCAGTCAAGATAGGCCTTCTACTAGTTATGAGCAGTCTAGTAACAGTACTACTAGTAGCAGGTCAGGCGCATGTCCATTACTTCAACAGAAACCAAGACGATGAACCAAGAGAGACTTAAATTTACCACAAAATGTCTGGGTCAACCACCTCCTCGAACCTTGAGTAAAGAAAGTGAACCTTTAGAGTTTTTTGAGTTGTTTTTCAGTGAAGATGTAATTCGCCATCTTGTGAGACATTCTGTTATATATGCAGTGCAACAGGACCCCAATACAAAGTTTACTTTGTCAGGAGATGATATTTACTGTTTCCTAGGAATTCTCATTCTTAGTGGTTATGTACCTTTACCCAGACGTCAAAGGTTTTGGGAAACAAATGAAGACACTCACAATGTTCTTGTTTCAAAGTCGATGCGCCGCAATCGTTTTGAGGAAATATTCAGATATTTTCAGCGCCCAAATGACAAAATGGCTAAAGTTCGACCATTGCTTGATTTTCTGAATGAAAAATTCTTGATGTATGCACCTATAGAAAAAAATTGCAGTATAGAGGAGTCAATGATCCCATATTATGGCCGCCATGGATGCAAGCAGCATATACATAGCAAGCCCATACGGTTCGGATTCAGAGCTTGGACGGCTGCTACACGACTAGGGTACTGTCTTCATGCAGATTAATATGAGGGAAAATCTGAACAACGATCCACTGGACTTGGAAAACACGTAGTTACTAAGATGATAGAAGCTATGAAAAAAGAATACCCTGAAACCCATTTTTCAGTTTTTTGTGACAATTTTTTTACCTCACCAACTCTTATAAGTAATTTGCAGGACAAGAACATCAAGGTAACCAAATATGTGCTGTACGCTGGAATGACAACAGTGTTGTTACTTTACTCTCCAATGAATACGGTGTTCATCCACGCATCAAAACGCTATTCGGCAGTCGAGAAAAAAAAGGTTGATATTCAGCAGCCTTATGTAGTTCAACAGAATAATCGTTTTATGGGTGGAGTCGATAGACTAGATGCCAATGTTGGGACATACAGAATTGCAATTAGAGGTAAAAATTGTATTCTAGCATTATAATGTGGATGATTGATGTAACCGTCAATAATTCTACTTTGCTAGCTAGATCAATGGGTGCTGAAGTTGACACTTTGGAGTTCAGGCGTTCGATTGCGCGTTCCTTGTTACAGAAGTATGGAGCGCCAAGACTTCACCCAGGACCAACGACACTGCCTGTTTTTCACAGTAATGTTCCTATGTCTGTTCGGAAGCACGGTGCAGATCACTTGATCATAACAGGTCAAGCACGAAAACGTTGTGCTGTTTGTAAAAACAAAACCACCAAAATATGTAAAAAATGTGGTATAAATCCACATGACAAGTGTTTTGCCAATTTTCATGACTAATTTTGTTACGTTTGTTATGAATAAAAACTGACTTAAAACATTTTCTTTCACTTTATTTTGATGTTGGATTTCCATACAAATATGTAAATTTATTTGCCCAGTGGGTCGTTAACGACCTATTAAAAAAACATGTTTCCAATACTGAAAACCTGAATTTACTGCCTTTTGCAGTGCAGTATCTAGCACAATTTTATGCACTTAATCCAAAAATTATAAAAATTCGTTGCTAAAAAAGTTACGGGCACATATGGGTTAAGAATGAAAATCAGTTAACATAGCGCATTACCACGCATTCTGAATTTAAAATATAAAAAGGGCAGAATGTTTGAGATTTTTTTAATAATTTTTCTTCACCATTCGCATACTTTTTCTAAACCTTACATTACTTATTCTAAACCTTCTCTGGAAATTTGAACATATATATATATATATATATATATACGAGGGGTGATCCAAAAGTAATGATAATCGGTTACTTCAGGTCCGCATAAAAATCCAAAAAAAAATTTTTTTGCTTGCTTATATACTCACTACGTCAGCCTATATAGATCCGGGAGATACATTCATTTGAATAGGAACTGTCAAAGAGATAACATCAACATGGAGAAAAACGAAATTAGAGCTGTCATCAAGTACCTCTGTTTGCTATTCATAAAAAAAATGTCTTCAAAAGACATACACAGTGACTTAGTGGAAACATTGGGGGACTCTGCTCCTCCATATTCTACAGTTGCACGCTGGGCCAAGGAGTTTAAACTGGGCAGAACATCCACTGAAAATGAACATCGCGAAGGACGCCCATCCACGTCCCTCACTGAAGACAACGTGAAAAAAGTCGAAGATGTTGTGTTGGCAGATCGAAGAGTGACCATCAGGCATGTAGCTGAGGTCACAGGGATCTCATATGGCAGCGTTCAAAAAATCCTTGCGAACGAGTTGCATATGAAAAAGGTCTCTGCGCGTTGGGTACCCAGAATGTTAACCGACGAGCAAAAGTAAAATCGAGTTGACATTTCGAGGGTCAATCTCGAAAAGTTCCAAGCAAGAAAATTCCAAGAAAATTTTTTGTTCCGTTTTGTGACTATGGACGAGACCTGGATCCACTATTTTGATCCTGAATCGACACAACAATCGATGACTTGGAAGCGAGCCTCCTCACCGACGCCACAGAAATTCAAAGTTTCAAGTTCGGCGAGAAAGGTTATGGCATCTGTTTTTTGGGACGCTCAAGGCATAATTATGGTGGAATATGTGGAAAAGGGAGCCACTATTACGGGCTCTTACTACGCAGGCCAGCAGAATAAGAAGATTACGGGAGGCCATTAAGGAAAGAAGACGCGGTAAACTGCGAGCTGGAGTGATGTTTCACCAAGACAACGCACCGGCTCATAAAGCCGCAGTTGCGATGGCTGTCATTCAAGAAACGGGATTCGAACTGCTCGAACACCCTCCCTATTCGCCAGATCTAGCTCCTAGTGACTTCTACCTCTTTCCTCGTCTCAAGGAACGCCTCCGAGGCAAGAAATTCGAAGACGATAGCGAAGTAATGGCCGCTGTTGAAGCGTTTTGGGAGGGTCAAGACAAAGAATTTTTTTCAAAGGGAATCCTGGGTTTATTGTATTGATTTGTTAGGAGACTATGTAGAAAAATAAATTATTATTTTAACTTTAATTACCGTGTTTTATTTTCATTATCATTACTTTTGGATCACCCCTCGTATACTAGCTTGCCAGGCAGACGTTGTTCTGCCCTTTTCGACGACCCTTTGTCATGTCCTATTAAAAATCCTAAAATTCAAAAAAAAAATTGTGGGTCACTCATGGGCAAAAAAACTATCCTATCTCTCAAGTTGGACCAAACTGCACACGGTGTGAAAATTTTATTAAAGTCAGTTGAGTAGTTTAGAAGTCCATCGCGGACAAACAACGTGACCCTTAATATATATATATATATATATATATATATATATATATATATATATATATATATATATATATATATATATATATATATATTGCAAAATAACCCTGTATATAATAGTTATAGATATTATGTATAAACATAATAGGTCGGGGAAAGTTTCCTCGTATACAAGGTATTTTGTTCTATAACTTGTTGTCATCTTGTAGGTAGTGACATAATCCCGCTGTTAGTAGTTTCAACAGTTCTCTCTTGATGTTAACCCAACACTACCCAAAGAATTCTGAAGAGACCGAAACAGTTGAAAATCTGAGGATTCAAGGTACAGGATTACATGGTGGATGCATTAACACTTCCCAACCAAGCTCTCTAAATTTTTGCTGAGTGGCCAAATATGTGGTCTGGCGTTATCATGGTGAAAGACCACTCCTTTTCTGTTGATCGATTCCGGCCATTTTTTCTCAATTTCTTGCTTGAGTTTCATTAGTTGTTGGTAATAGAGATCCGAATCGATGGTTTTGTGCGGCGGTAAAAGCTCTAATAAACGATGGCTTTTCCATCCCACCATACACACAGCATCACCTTATTGCGTGTAAAACCGTGGTCAAGCTCCACAGACTAGCGCTAGTCTGTGGAGCTTGAATACCCTTTGGCTACGTCGTAACTATTAATATGCGATCTTGCTTCATTGTTTTCAAATATGTCATCTACTTTATCCGTATGAGGTCCAGAGCGAGCTGCATCTTTGACATTAAAATTCCCGGACTGAAAACGTTTGAACCAAATTTGTCCATAAACATCACAAATTTTTTCACAGCTTGAGTCGCATTTTTCCCTTTTTTCTAATAATAAAACTTTAGAATGAATCGAATTTCTTCGTTAGATTCACTCATTTTGGCAAACAAAAAAAAAACAATTGAAAAATGGCGAGAAAGTGTTTTTTACTTTTTATTTTTTTTTTCATGTCTTGTATGTATTGATATCAAAACCAGCCAGATACAAACAGTACAACCAAAGAGATTTTTCTTCAATTTTATACAAACAAAATACGAAGAAACTTTTTCCCGACCTATTATTTGCTCACCTTCGCAATTTTTTTGGGTTTAATATTTTAAATGCGTAAAGATACATAATTTATTCTACTAATACAATGAGATATGAACTCAGCTTTTAACTTTATTTATAAATTTGGCTCACCTTAGTCTTACAATCGGCGCAGAAGCGATGTTTGCGCAGATAGTTGTGCAGCGTGTCGTGCAGGGTGTTGAAGTGCACGAGCGTGACGTGCTCGCGTGCGGAGGCGCGCATGGCGTCCCAGGCGGCGCGCCAGGCCGCGCGCCCGCCCCAGCCGCACGCGGCCCAACCCCAGCCGCACGCGTTCACGCTCGCGCCCCACGCGCCGCACGCCCCCACGCCCGCGCCCCCGCCCGCGACCGCGCCCGCGCCCCAACCGCGCGCCCCACCCGCCTCCAAAGAATGTAGTGTACACCGCTGCGACTTTTTCCAACGTGGTTGACTTAGAATTAGACATTCTATACCCGTGCTGAAAGATTTGTGATTATTTTTCATTTATGTAAACTTACATAGGCCCACTGGATTACCAGGCAGCATATACTAGTTAACTCAAAATACTATAAAACACTGGGGTTGTCAACACGCCTACCAAGTTATGGCGAAAATCTCTCTATTATGTAATCTATAGGGAAAGCCTATGTCCAGCAGTGGACTTTTATAGGCTGTAGGTGTAACTCCAATAGAACAATGAGACAATTTTTATAGAATAAGGGTGACAAACAAGCACATAGTCCACCTGATAATATGTGTATGCTATAGCCCATAGACATCTACATTTAACCTCTATTACGAGTATGAATCAAAATGTTGATGAGTTGTCACCCCTGCCTATTCAGATAGAATGCCTATAACACATAAAACGGGTCTCTTGTTCTCTACACATCGTATAAAATACAGCAGCATTAAGCTACTATTTTAGACTGCTAATTTGTGAAGTCACGGTCCTACCCCAATTTCAAAAAGATTCCACGAAAAAAAATTAGATAATCAGCAATTGTTTTGCTATTATTGGGTAGGTAAGTAAAAGAAATCAACTTGGTGACAACCAATCCACCTATCATATTCGACTATAAAAGAAAATTTATCCATTATGGAGGAGGATTTATACACCAATATCTATCAATACTATTAAACTATACAGAGGGTAAATAATCTAATTTGTTCTAGGGTAAGGGGTAATGATTCTAATTATAATGATTACATTTATTGCACAGAAAACACTAATAGAGAAAGAGGTTTGTGTAACAACTCATATTATTAAGTTACAACTTTCAAATTTTGTTTCCCAAATCACCACTCAAGGGATAAAACATACACTTTTTTTACTTATTATAAGCCAGTGTACAATCCCACCTGGTGGTAAGTGGTGATGCAGCCTTAGATGGTAAATCACACTGTTTAGTGTAACAAAAGCCTATTCACTCTTGCCTTGAAGACGCCTTATCGGACGTTAAGATAGACGCCGGCAAATTATTGTACTCCCTTGCTGTATTCATTATAAGTCGAAGTAAACCATTTGGTTCCAATGCGTGGAATATCGACAACAAAGGTGTGAAGACCCGCCGACCGCCTGGTCGTCTGATGGTAGAAAGGAGAGTGAGGAATTAAAGCATGCAATTCCTGAGCAAACTCACCGAAATGCATCCTATAGAATACCGGGAGGCTGGCTACTCTGCGCCTGTGCTCGAGGCTGACAAGGTTGGTTTCAACCAAACCAAGGTCACCAAGTGAGCCTCGTAGCACGTCTCTCTCCACTGAGTCCAAAACTTCTATAGATATGGGTTTACTTACCTGTGACCATTTAGCAAAGTGGCAAGAGACTGTGAATGTGTTAATTTGTCTTCTCTTATTGTCATGGTTTCATCTGGAGTAAGTATCAAAGGGTCTAATGTTGGATGTCCTGATTTACATAGTTGATAAAAGAGTCTTTCAACACTGAAACAAAAGAGAAAATAAATTGCAAGGCAGAACAATAACCTGTCCTCTAGCCATAAAATACAATTAAAATTTGATTCTCTGAATGCAAATTTGAAATGTGTTTATTACGAAAAATTTTTGACTTATTTGACGCGATTTAACATATAACTTCTCACAGTGATTGTTAAATTACATTACGGCATGGGTTGTTGAAACAGAATTGCAACTTTGTATAAAGTGGGTATTGAGTCATCAATCATTATGCAATCCAGAATTCAACGTAACCCTTAAAGAAAACTAAAAATATTAGATATTTTAGATATGAAATTTCTATTTTATTGAACCACTAGAAAAACCCAGCGAAATATTATACAAGAGCAGAATCTAATCAACATCATCATCATTATAGCCTATCAACGTACACTGCTGAACATTGACTGCCTTGTAAGGCGGATATTTGCCATGGCTGTCATACTTGGCAGACAGGTTGGCAACCACAGTTTATTATTTTGCTATTAGGAAGTCTCTCATCTGTCTTTCACCTGATCTAGGCATAAAGTCATGGTAAAGATGTAGAATGGGATCAAAATAATGATGATTATTTTATTAATTTACACCTCCTATTTATATAAATGTAAATAAGCATGCCTACATTCAGTTGCATAATTGCGAAGGTGATGATGAATGAAGCAAGCAGAAAGTGTATTACACTGACTTAATGCCCTCTTAATATATATATATATATATATATATATATATATATATATATATATATATATATATATATATATATATATCGAATCTCGGAAACGGCTCCAACGATTTTCATAAAATTTAGTGTCCAGGGAGTTTGAGGGGCAATAAATCGATCTAGCTAGGATTTATTTTTAGAAAATGTTTTTTTGTCCGTGTTTTCAGGCAATGAAAAACTGCTACAATATAAGAAGGTAAATTTTGACAATGTGTTAATGTCGTAATAACTCAAGTGGATATCGAGCGGTCGCGAAATCGTAACGCCTGGGTTCGCGTCCAGTCTTCGGTGCGATTTTTTTTTCTTATTTTTTCGAGTTCCCTTCGTTTGTGAGAAAATCTATTATTTCGAGCCCTTTTTTAATATATTTTAAAAATACGAAAATTATATTTAAACTAATTGCACTCATGATTTTTTATTCAAATAACCAGTTCAGTTTTTTCTATTATGTCAATAAGATCAATAAAAATTATTCAATAGTATATTATTTGTATCTAAATGTAATTTTAAAAAAAAAACGAGCAAAGCTCGGTCATCCGGGTACTATACAACATGTAACAAAAACCCTGTGGTTCCCGTTAAGTGTGCTATCAGAATCAGTATTCAAGCTTATAGAAATAATTTTTTTCAAAAAAACGCATTTAAAAAAATTTATTTTACTGAAAAAAAAAAAATTTATTTGCAAATTGTATGTGGTTATTTTTCCTCTAACTCACACGAGTATCGGTAATGCGGGGTCTTTGACAATCCTCTTACTCCTTGGCCAACGCAGATATAATAAAACCACATACAATTTACAAATTAATTTTTTTTCATTAAAATAATTTTTTAAATGTTTTTTTGAAGAAAAAAATATTTCTATATGCTAGGATACTGATTCTCATAACGCAGTTGACGGGAACCACAGGGTTTTTGTTACATGTTGTATAAATATATATATATATATATATATATATATATATATATATATATATATATATATATATATATATACTTTAAACGAGCAATTCTTGTATATAAAAGGATCTCCTAACACAAAAACAGTGTGTTGACCGGATGATTTCTGCATTTGGTGATGAAGCCCCATCCAAAACCACAATTTATCGCTGGTTTGCTGAATTTCAACGTGGATGTGTCAAGCTCAGTGATGATCCCAGTCAAGGTTGTCCAAAAACTGCAGTCTCCCAAGACAACGTTGATGCTGTGCGTAAGCTTATTGAGGAAGATCGACATGTGACATACCGCGAAATTCAGGCAACTTTAAACATTGGCATGAGTTAAATACAAATAATCTTGCATGAACAATTGGGTGTAAAAAAGTTGTTTTCCCGATGGATACCACATTCGCTCTGTGAAGAGCAAAAAGCGGCTCGCGTTACTTGGTGCGTCAGAACTCTCGAAAGATTCCACGCAGGAACCTCAAATGCTGTATACAACATCGTATCAGGTGACGAATTCTGGATGTACGCGTACGAACCCGAAACAAAAAACCAGTCACGAATTTGGGGTGTGTGGGTGTTCGAAAATGAGTTAAAGCCAACAAAAATTGTTCGTTCACGGAGTGTTGCAAAAAAAATGGTGGCCACGTTTGTCTCCAAAACCGGCCATGTTACGATTTTCCTCTTGAGGGACAAAGAACGGTTAATGCAGAATGGTTTGCTAGCATTTGTATGCCACAGGTCGTTTTTGAACTCCGTAAAGAGAACTGCAACCGCCGCATCATCCTCCATCACGACAATGCGAATTCTCACACCGCACACAGAACAAAAGAGTTTTTAGAGCAAGAAAACATAGAATTATTAGACCATCCGCCGTACAGCCCCGACCTAAGCCCTAATGATTTCTATACTTTCCCTAAAATAAAGAATAAATTGCGTGGACAGAGATTTTCATCACCTGAAGAAGCTGTGGACGTCTACAAAACGGCCATTTTGGAGACCTGAGATGCGGCGGTTGCAGTTCTCTTTACGGAGTTCAAAAACGACCTGGGGCATACAAATGCTAGCATACCACTCTGCATTAACCGTTCTTTGTCCCTCAAGAGGAATAGTCGTAACATGGCCGGTTTTGGAGACAAACGTGGCCACCATTTTTTTTGCAACACTCCGTTAACGAACAATTTTTGTTGGCTTTAACTCATTTTCGAACACCCACACACCCCACATTCGTGACTGGTTTTTTGTTTCGGGTTCGTACGCGTACATCCAGATTTCGTCACCTGATACGATGTCGTACGAGGGTGGATTAAAAAGTACTCGGCCTAACCAAGAAAATAAACACATACTAAATCAGTTATATTTTTATTTTTCTACATAATCACCATCAAGTTCAATACACTTTTGCCACCTCCCCTTCCAAGCATTTAGACCGTTGAAAAAAAATGATTCTTCCTTAGAGTCAAAATATGCGTCTACAGCTGCTTTGACCTCGTCGTTTGTCGAAAATCTTTGACCTCCCAATTGCTTTTTTAGGTTAGGGAACAGAAAGAAGTCTGATGGTGCCAGATCAGGTGAATACGGCGGATGCGGTAACAGTTCAAAGCCACAGTTGTGAATTTCAGCCATTGACTGTACTGACGTGTGAACACGGGCGTTATCTTGATGAAACAGGACTTTTCTTCTGAGCATTCCTCGACGTTTTTCTTTTATTTCCTCTCGTAAACGACGTAGTAAGGTGCAGTAGTAATCAGAGTTTATAGTCTGACCCCTTTCAAGATAATCAATCATAATCACACCTTTCGAGTCCCAGAATACTGAAGCCATCACCTTATTTGCCGACAAAATCGACTTAGCCTTTTTTAGGGGGTGGTGAACCAGGTCTTCTCCACTGTTTTGATTGTTGTTTTGTTTCCGGTGTACAGTAATGAACCCATGTTTCGTCCATAGTAACATAACGATTCAAAAAATCATCTACATCGGCATCAAATAACTCCAAACAGTCGCGTGAAATAGTCAATCGCGTCCTTTTTTGTTCAACTGAAAGCAGTCGCGGAACCCACCTCGCAGACACCTTGTGGAAACCCAACTCGTTGACAATGATGTTTTGAGTTCGTTCATAAGAGATGCTTATAATCTCGGCTATCTCTCTAATTTTTAATCTGCGGTCTCCCATTATTAAATCAAGTACTTTTTTAATATTTTCGTCAGTAGTTGACGTCGAAGACCTTCCGGAGCGGGGTTCATCTTTCACACTCTCTCTACCACGCTTAAATACTGCTATCCATTTTTTGACGGATGAATATGACAGAGCACAATCGCCTAATGTACTGACCATGTCATCATGGATGGCTTTTAATGATAGCCCCTTCTTATGGAGGTACTTAATGACGGCACGCTGCTCGATTTGCTCCATTCGCGGAAATTATGTCCGATTTCTTTGTTAATAAATTTATAAAATCACAACTAATTATCGAACACGTTTCGAACTTCACACAATGAACTAGTCTGAACTGAACTAAATAATGTGGGTAGATTTGATTTTTAGAATTGAATGGATCTGTGTTAGGCCGAGTACTTTTCAATCCACCCTCGTATACAGCATTTGAGGATCCTGCTTGGAATCTTTCGAGAGTTCTGACGCACCAAGTAACGCGAGCCGCTTTTTGCTCTTCACAGAGCGAATGTGGTATCCATCGGGAAAACAACTTTTTTACACCTAATTGTTCATGCAAGATTATTTGTATTTAACTCATGCCAATGTCTAAAGTTGCCTGAATTTCGCGGTATGTCACATGTCGATCTTCCTCAATAAGCTTACGCACAGCATCAACGTTGTCTTGGGTGACTGCAGCTTTTGGACAACCTTGACTGGGATCATCACTGAGCTTGACACATCCACGTTGAAATTCAGCAAACCAGCGATAAATTGTGGTTTTGGATGGGACTTCATCACCAAATGCAGAAATCATCCGGTCAACACACTGTTTTTGTGTTAAACCACTTCGAAAATCATAATAAATCACCGCTCTTGAATTTTCTCGATTCGATTCCATTTTCTCAACGACTAAACAAGTTTAACAAAACCTTGTGACAAGACCGAGAATCTTTTTTTAAATAAATAAATGGTATTCGATTTTTAAAACCAAGGAGTTTTCAATTAAAAAGATTTTAATATGACAGGAACAGTGGAAATATACCATTCCCGATACTTTTAGCTATTTTTTAGCTTAGCTTAGCTTTGCAGCCTATGTATTAGGTAGGTTATAGCGACATGTCGGACAAGGGGGAACTGCCCCCTCCACGGTCTAGAAAACCACCGGACCGGAAAG